CGGGGCTTGAACTCACGGAGCGCGAGATCATGACCTGAGCCAAAGTTGGCAGCTTAACCGACTGAGCCACCCAGGCACCCCAACAGGCACAAGTCTTAAGAACATCAAAACATTAAAGGCAAAATCATAAAGCCAGTGTATATAAAGATAAACAAGAGAGATGGAAAGGCCACACAAAATGAAAGCTCGTACAGGGCCTCGAAGATCTTCAGATTTTACTCTGAGACATATAGGGAGTCCCTGAAAAGTTTTGAGCATAAATAACGTGGTTTAACTTCAATTTAAAACAGATCACTCTGGCTGCTACCCAGAAAATACAATGAAAGGGGCAAGGATGGAAGCAGCAAGACTACCAGGGAAACAATTTCATTCTTCTGGCACAAGATATTGGCTTTAAATCAGCATGATAAGGTGGAAATGGTGTAAATAAAGTGGTACAATTAAGATATTTTCAAGGTGGAGGCAACATGATTTGCTGATAACTTGAGTAAGACAAAGATAAATTAAAGATGCTTCCAAAGTTTTCGATAAGCTGGAAGAAAAAAAAAAGACTTCCTACTAATTGAGATGGCAAAAAGATTACAAGAAAAGTAGTTTTGAGAGGATGAAAATCAAGACCTACCTTGGACTTGTTAAGTTTGAGAATCAGACATTCAATTATTGGATATATGAGTTTACAATTCAGAGGGTAAGTCAGAGTTAGAGATGAAAATATGAGCTCTTACCTGGAGAGAAAAAATAATGATGGCCTGAGACCTGGGTCCTACCAACATTTACAGAAAACTAAGTATTTATTTCAATTACGGAACCATAAATCAGTTGATATGTTTACCCGTGTTCCATTTTCTTAGTCATACACTCATACGTACAGCCTAAGCACTGAAGATAGGGTTGGAGAGTAACTACCAAAGGATGAGAATTCTGAAGTTGCTAGAAATTGCTTCGTAATCATTAAAAAAAATTAGAGTCTAAATTAATATGTACAAAAATATTCCACTATGTGGTATATATGAATTTTTTAAAAATACAGGGCGACTATTCATACAATTGGATGAAAAGATCTGGGTTATTGTGTTAGTTCTATTTCTAGGCTAAACTATAGCATGGCATGCAACTGTTAAAGATTTTTACTGTTTTTCTGCAACCTAGGGAATAGGCAACACTAGGTATATTCTTTAATTTTATAATTACCATTTAGAATGCACCCAAGATGTTCCGTAAAGGATGCCAAATGCAAATGTGTCTCCAATTGCCCCCCAAAAAATCATTCTTCAAGATGTTGCCATTATTCAAAGATCCTAGGATAATTCTTAGGTAAAACCAAGAATCCTTCATCATCTATTTTGTACATCAAAACTCATAAAATTTTGGTAGAATAAACTGGACCTACTCACTTTACTAAACCATTGTCAGGTTATAGCTTCCACAGGTATAGTAATTTATGAAATGGGGATGGACACAAAGACAGAGCTGTATTACAACGATTATATCTGGAAGCTTAGATGCCGTTATCAAGACATCATGTTAGGTCTAATTCCTGGCTATTCTACCTTAATATGATCAAGTTAAACAGTACAGCAGCTTGCTCAACTCAACCAGAACCGAGTACCAGAGTTTCATCTGGAATCTTGTGACACATATCCTACCATGTCTCACATTCTTGCTATCCTTCATTTTTACTACAAGATGCCAAGCTTCATCTACTGTTTTCTATTCTTTACTATTGATTCATCCCATTAATCTACTCTACTAAGATCTCTAGAAAAATATTTATAATACAGGTTGTCCCTAATCTTCAACTGCTCTATATAATGGTTCCTCAACCTCTTAGCTTTCACTAAAGCCTGGTTTTACCCCAAAAGGCACTGCTTATCTTGCATCCCTTTTATGTGAGGATTTCATAAACAACTAAAACCCGTAAATCCACTATTATTCTTCTAATTCCTTGTATTTAAAACAATGTCCATCAAAACAAAATAAACACAACACAAACACAACTTATATTTGAAAATCATATTATCTACTTGAATACCTTTCTTCTGGTAAATTATACCCATATACTAAAGGCTCTATTTTGCCCCCATTTATATCACTGGCATGCTGACTTCAATGTCTGTGTTCATGATCTATCCCAACACTTTAGCCCCCTCTTACCCAAAATACTTACTTGACTTTCTTCAGAAACCTTCACCGCCTCTCTATGTCAATCACTACTGTAGGCATATTAAATATCCAACCCCTGATCATTATCATCTATCCTTATAAAAATTTCACTTACACTAAACGATCTCTCTGACCTATCAAGGCTTTTTATAACCAGCCTAACACCTCTGTCTGGCACCACAATATATCCAATCATGGCCATCACCAAAGACTTACATATTCAACTTACTTCAGTGTTAACAACCTATGCACATGCCACTAGTAATTCTGTCCCATCTGTTCTGCTAATACCCAACCTTGAAATACCATGCCTCTTTTCTGGCTATTAAAGAAATTCTTTAAACTCCAAGTATATGTTCCCTAACCTCAACTAACCACTCAGTAGCATGAGACTCAATAATATTTGGTCTACTTCTTCATCCATTCTCCCCAGACACTTTCCAAATTTGCACAGTCTTCTCAAATTCCCTAATCAAACTCTGTGTTCCACAAAACCCTATTAAAACATGTTTCTTAGAAAGTTACATGCTCACAAAACTAGAATAAAAAAAAATAACTGCATTAGGATGGCAATTATCAAAAACAGATAATTACAAGTGTTGATGAGATTATTAAAAAAAGTATAGCGGTTCCTCAAAAAATTAAAGAATTAGCATATGATCCAACAAGCCTACTTCTGGGAATATGCCCAAAGAATTGAAAGCAGGGTCTCAAAGAGATATCTGTGTTGTCCTAAACATGTCATGAAAGTAATCCAAGTGTCCATTAATGGGTGAAAGGATAAACAAAATGTTATATACATATAGCAGAATATTATTCAGCCTTAAAAAGGAAGACAATTCTGACAAATGCCACAACAGGATGAAGCTTGAGAACATTATGCTAAGTGAAATAAGCCATCACAAAAAGACAAATATAAATAATTCCGCTTATATGAAACAGAGTAGTCAAAACAGAAAGTAGAATGATGGTTGCCAGGAGGTGGGGAGAAGGGGAAATTGGGAGTTATTATTTAAAGGATATAGTTTCAGCATTGCAAGATGCACAGAGTTGTGGAGAATCTACACAACAATATTAATGTACTTAAATACCACTGAATTGCACTTAAAAAATAATGTTACATGTATTTTACCACAAAAAAAAATAGGATGAAAACGTTACATGGACACATAAATTTGAGAAATACATTTTACAATCCCTTTTGGAGATTCACAATGTACATCAGCACTTTAAAGTATTCCACTATTTTCAGTAAAGAAACCTGTTTAATTCTGTAGTTCCCAAATTTATTCAACAATTGAACCTCCTTTTCAAGAAGTGTCTACTAACATCTCAAAGGAGAAATAAACAGTGGTGTAGCAGACCTATACAAATTTACTGAGAAAATACTCCAAGTAAAAATGACCTTTGACTGGGGCACCTGGGTGGCTCAGTCAGTTAAGCATCTGACTCTTGATTCTGGCTCAGGTCAGGATCTCACGGTTCATGGGACTGAGCCCATGTCAGGCTCCATGCTGTCAGTGGACTCTGATTGGGATTCTCTCTCCCTCTCTCTCTGCCCCTCCCTCTCTCGTTCTCTCTCTCTCTCTCAAAATAAATAAACTTAAAAAAAAAAAAAGACCTTGACTTCCCCTATTCTCATCTGCAAACACATTTAACATTACATAACCATCTTTATCTCCTTCTTCTAGTTTAAGATAGGGGTCTCTGCTCTTATTCCAAAGCAATCCCTATACCTATATTCTTCATTTCAACCCTTACTATCTCAAAAACCTTGCTTCAATAATTACCACCTTCCTGTTACCTTACCTTAAACTTCTTAAATTCTTACAACTAGTTACTGAGGTCTTAACTATTTCACTTTCTAAATATTTTTCTTAAATCCAGAGAACGTTATCTTGAATTCCTATTCACTGCCCTTCTTAGGGCTGTCACTGACTGAACTGCTGAAGCTCTGGTCACCTGCCACCACGGACTTCTCTTCAATTCTGTTTCTCTGCTGCCAAAACTATTAAAAACCTATGTCTAACAAGGTTACTACCTCTTCCTCAGCAAATTCTTTATTGACTCCCAGATACTTATGAGAGACAGGCCAAAGGCCCTTCACATAGCTGGCAAGGCCCTTTCTCTATCAGGTGTTATTTTTCACTTTCCTACTTATGATCTAAAAATCCTCAAATGCCTACTGTTCCCTACACACACTATGCAGCTTTATAACTTTACCCATGCTTCTGCCTAGAACAACTCTGACTATGCTTCTGGCTACCTAAGTTCCAGTTACACTTCAAGATTTAATTTGGCCTTCCCTGGCCACCCCTATTTCCCTGCCACCTGGTTTAGGTTCCTTTTGAATACCTAGGTAACACGGTATTCCTTAATGTTCCTGTTGCATCCTCAGTATAACTCTACCAAAAAGATGATTTGCTTCTATGTCTTTCTACTAGGTACACTGTAAAATTATCTGGGTTAGGGACTAATTATTATGCATCTTTGTAGCCACAAGACATCACCAGCTGCTTTATACATAGTGAGTATTTAATAAGTGATTGTTAACCTCTTTCCCCTCTCTATTTCTCCACAACTTCTAGGTGACCAAAAAGACATTACAATCCAGGAGTATACAATTATCCACTTAAAAGGAGAAATCTAGTACCATGTTACCAAAGTTTAGAGGTATTTATTTGGTAGGAAAAATAGTAGGCACATTCCTCTCTCCCAATTTTTTTTTTAATGTATTAGTCTCTTACAACTGGAAATTATTGTCAAATAACATGACACCTTTAAAGCAATCTAGGTTAACTTAAAAAACACCATAGCCTCAACCAAGTTACACTTACATTCGGCTAGCTTCGATGCTGTCAGACTGAGGTTCTCCTGGCGATCTGTAAAATGCAATTGAGGAAAGTTAAGCAGAATATTCCATATTCCAAAAAGGGCAGACATGTTATTTTAGAAGACAAATTTGAAAACAAGATTTAATTGTTAACAGTTTTAAAAGTAACTAAAGATTTCAACAGAAGAAAAAAGTGATCAAGTCAGACTGCCATTCAACACATTTATTATAAAAGCTGGACTAATAAAAAAGTCAGCACATTGTTTTTAAGGAAAACTGTAAACACTATATTTAGATACCAACATACAAAGCAGTATAATAAAACATAATTATTCACAAAGTCAATATTTATAATAAAAACATACAACTACGAAACTTTCTACAGCCAACTACTACTTATCCATAATATCAAAAGTATTCACTAGTATTCACAGTCCCAAACTATATTTAGATCAGGGGTCAGCAAACTATTTCCTCGGACAACAAACTAAGGCCTGGGCCAGGCGCCTATTGTACAATTTTATTGGAATACAGCCACACTCATTCATTTACATATTGTCTATGGCTGCTTTCAAAACACCACAAGAGCAGAGGTGAGAAACTCTGATAAGGATATATAGCCCACAAAGCCTAAGTATTTATTATCTGGCCCATTAAGAAAAAGTTTGCCAACTTCTGCTCTAGATAATTTAAATTTAAATCTAATAGCCTTGGGAATTTTGAGACACTTTAAGTCAGATTTACCATTCTAATCATGATTATCTTGGTTTAACAATGAAATTAACTTTCCCTGAAAATACACCGGCAAGATGCACTACGTATCAAAAGTGTACCAACCGGGGATATTAAAATTTTACTACAGATAATTGTGAACTGACTTCAGTTATAAATAGTTGCCAGTTACACCAAAAAGTATTTTATTTTCATTTTGAGATATGAACCAATTTTGCCTATTCCCACCATGCTGTTAAAAAAATAAATTCCTGTGATCCTATTCGGTTTCATCAACAGTATTGGTCAGTGTATACTAAGGTGAATCAACATAATATTGATTTCTAACACTCAAATTCTCAAAATTTTTAGAGATGAAAAGCTAAATATCTAAAATGACAATATAAGGACTTGATTTGTGAATTTATCACTGACTTGAAATTTCTAATTCTGACCTTTAACAAAAGAATCTTAAATTCAGAGCCACCAGCAAAATAAAAAAAGAAAAGAAAGAAAAAGAAAAAAACAACAAAAATAAACAGTTTTCCACATTTCTTAGCTTTTAAAAATCTCACTTCTTTACCAGACTTTCAAAATTACCCCTCACTGTAGTTCATTCATAGTCCAAGGACAAGAATGCCAAAAAAAAAACAAAAAAAAAAAAAAAAAAAAATAAGAACAAAAAAGACTCCAGCAGCTCAAATATTTTAGCTCCTCTTTGCAGTGTATTCACATTTTCAATTTTGCACAAAGTTATATTAGAACTAAAAATTGGGGCATGCTGGAGGTGGCAGTGACTTGGCACTGACACAAATGCAAAAATTTCACTCCACCCTCTCCCCCAGGGAGCAAGCAAATCACCTTTGTGACACACCTGGTCTCCACCAGCCTTGTGGGTAAGTACCCCAAGATTGCTTCCAAACTTGTTTGTATGTCTCAGACAGAAGAGCTAAAAACTGATGATAACCCCATGTACCAGCTGACTCATTTTTGAAAGTGCGACCCTCCAGCATCAGATGTCATACTGTAAGGAGGCAGAGCAGGCTTGCAAAACAAAAAATAAACCTGCTGGCACTAAGGGAAGAGAGGCAGATTAGAAGCTTTCAAACACGTAGGCGGCAAAACTTTCAAAATTAACAGGGAAAGAGAAAGAGAGAGGGAAAAAAATGAGGACACAATGACAGGAAAATTAAAATACTATTGCAAAAAGGTAAGACACAAGCAAGAAGGAAAACAAATTCAAGTCTTAGAAGCACAATATATAACTGCTGCAAAGTTTTGAGAAATGAGATAGACGTTAAATACATCATCAAATGGTAACTACACTCTGTTTTCCAATCTCTGTTCCCTAAACAAGAGAATATGTAAACATTAGCATCAAACTGTCAGCAAATTATTATATAGTTAATACATATTCAAGTGAGCTACTAAAAACCATTTATAAGTCAAACCAAGCAATTTAAACCAATTCGGTCTAACAGAAGGACAAAATAAGAAAGGATTGAAAGAGTATTACCCAAAAACAGATCTATCCTCGGTCTCTTAAACATGGTTAGCCCAAATTGTTTTCTACTCAAAATGGAAATTTTTTTTTAATTAAGAGAAAAGTGAATATACACAGAACTAGCAAACGCTTTTCTTGCAATGCATAATAGTATATGTTTGAATAAACTTCTAGTCATTCTGCTTGTATTTCTGTAATATTCTAAATAATTTACCAAAAAATATCCTAAAATTATGATTCTGACTCTCAAACTATGAAATATCTAACATCTAGCATTAGTTTCCAAGCTTTACTTTGGCCACTAAAGCATTTTTATTCATTACTGTCAAGTTTTTGGAAGTAAGGATCTAGTACATGTTCAGGATATTATCAATGGGGAGAAAAAAGAAAAAGTATTGACTTAAGTTAACCTAGTTTGTCAGAATAACAAACCAGAAAAGACACTTTAAAATAAACAATAAGTAACATTAGAAAAGAAAAAATCTTGGAAGAGTCTCAATTTTAGGCCTTGATTTGGATCACAGAAAACTGATCACAAAATGCCTACTAATCTAGATAGTGCAGCATGAGCTGGAACATTCAAATGGAGGATCACTTCCAATAATAATGGGTGCAGCTTGTCCAGCCAGCAAGCCACTCCTTCTACCTCCACGATAACTATCTAGGAGAGAAAATTATACCAGTTTTATTGAAGTTGTAAAAATTTCTAGAAGTATTTTAGTTAAAACTCTTACCACATAAAAGGCACATCTTAAAATGCATACTGAGAATTTTTTTTATAGTTTTTATAATGTTCAAACAGGTTTATTTAAAAACATGAAATTTTTGAGAAATACTTTCTTGTTTACTTATACAGATAGATCTGGGGTCAGGGGAAGCATAAAATATTTTAGGAAGGATATTTAAATGGAGAAGAACATTACCACTTAAGCTCTACTATTTGCACTGTTCCTGCCAACTATAATTTTCTTCATTTCTTACAAAACATATTTTACTTTATAATAACAGCCTTTTAAAGGCTGTAAAATAACATTCAAAATTACCTTTTACAAGCTGTGGCCATTCGGTGACATCAGGGTGATCACAGCTTTGAGTCACTGATTAAAAACAGGTAGTCACACCAGTCTAGCTGCTAACTTGATCTGAGCGTAGGTTTAATAACTCTAATAAATTAAACAAATCTTTAGTTAGAACACTTTAATATAAATCCAATTCACTGTTCAAAAACTTATCTTCAAAGCTTCAAATCAGGTGTCAATTCAACATTCATCAGAAGAGTAATTATTATAGAAATGCTTTTAAGGACTATTTTCCAGATTTTTTTTTCCTTAAATGATCTCTTCACTTGATAAAGTGTGGTGATAATCTCTTGTATTTTTACAGAGTGTTACAGTTTACACAGCACTTTGGTCAACAGTGTCTTGTTTGAGACTCAGGACAACTTCAGCTCTACCTAATCAGGGCAGATACTATAATAAGAATTTAAGGAAAAAACAAAAACCAAAACAAATTAAGCAGACTTAGAGTGATTAACTGACTTGCCCAAGATTTTAGAATTAGTGTTGAAGCTAGGATTAAAACTCAGATCTACTGACTTCCTATCCAGGGTTAGAATTTTTTGGTTTGATTTAGTTTTTACTATACAGTTTCCTAACTTCAGTGTATGCAAAGATTCAGAATATGGATTGAGATCCCACTATTATGGCAACTGTTTAAATGAGACTAACAGTCATAGAGTTTTCCAGGTAGTCAAATGCTTAATGGTTACACACACACACACACACACACACACACACACACACACACACACCCAAAGTCTAGTCCTACCTACTCTACATTAAGTAGGGTAATCTAACAGCCCAAACCCCTTGGGTACTCCATGAAAAAAGCGTTCTATTCTTTCTCAGCCATAAATCCACTAATATTCAATTCCATCAAAGAGACTGGCAAGATACAAAAACATGTTCTCCTCCCTCAACCTAGTATCTTTTGATCCCCTTACTTGGCTTTAGCACAACTTTCTTGATTGTCATGGCTCAAATTTATCAGGCATCCTAATCCTATATAGTTCTGGCAAAGACATACATCTGAAATATCCCCGTATTGAGAACTCATTTTGTGCAACTAGTTTTTCCTCTATTTGATTTCCCTACCAAACTGTATATCCAGGCCAAATCCAAAAAGTGAACTAAGGAAAAATGAGAAAATTAAGAGGGAGGAAAAAATACCCTTGATAGTTGACACCTTTCCAAAGTGGCAATAAACAACCACAGAAGGCGGTTACCAGCATGGACCCAGAACCCAATATAAAATAGTAAGGTATCTGAGAATACCAAGAGAAGAGTTGAAATATCAATCTTGAGTCCATACCTCTACAGCAGCCTATGAACTTGGGCTTCAAATTCAGATAAGGGTGAGGGTTGGCCTTAGTATATACAAGTAATTTTAGGGAACTCCAAATATATGGGACTTCTATGCCCTGGACAAAACAATCCAATTTTCTAGACTTCCCTATCATAGCTACCTGTCTCCTTATGAGAGCCTAGAATATTCCTGAGTTTACATGAGAAAAAGGCAATGGCATCCCTGAAATGAACAATGTTCCCTCTTGGGTTCCCTCTGATTTCAGAACCCCCAAAGAAGTCTAACTTTCCAACCTGTAAACATAATATATGAGAAAGTTAAAATACCTCGAGTGATCAACTGAGGTAAATTAATTCATTAAAGAGCTATTTGTATTTTACTGAGCCAAGTTCTCTCTACTGGTCCGCTTTTATATGAGGTCCAGTGTTTAACAGAGCACAAATAGGGTCCAGAGCCAATCTAGATTCAAGTCCTTGTTTGGTCACTTACTAGATGGCAACTCTTGGGCAAGTTGTTTAACCATTCTGAGCCTCATTTCATTCATAGAGAGAAGTAAGACAATAGTAGTGTCTATTTTAGAGGGCTGTCCTGAGGATGCACAAACCAACATATTAAACTGCTCAGAACAGTGCCTGGCACATAGTAAGAGCTTAACAAATGGAAGCTATTATTAACTCACAACTTAACAGCCAAACCTGTCCCCTTCAATCTTCTCATGCATAAGATTTCACTTTTCACAGCATCCTAACCTCTTCTAATTTCTTTCAGAATCTCATTTCTGTCCCTTATAGTCTACCTGGTAGCACAGCGATTTACCACCTAGCACAATGCTTTAAAAATAGCAGGCACCCAAATTTGCTGAAAATGTTTCTCCTTATTCTAACTATGACATTAAGATATGCATGCATTTTGAATTCCAAAAAATAAAACAGAAACATACCATATTTCGCCAAACTTCTGAGGAGCTGGTGAATTGTAAAATCAGGTTCTTACAGATTTTTAACCTAAAATATAAAACACCTCACTCAATTCTTTTCACATAGACAACTGGATAAACTAAAAAAAAAAAATCTTCCCCAAAATTCATTTTTTGTAATGTTTATGAATATCCAAAAACATACCAAGAGACAAGTGTCCCTAATGCTTTTGCCAGGCTGCATGCAAGGGTGGTTAGACAGGCCCTGTTCCCTGACTGCTTTCCTCTGGCAGAGCCATGTTTCCTATATTCATCCACAGAGCTTAGAGTCTGCCATTTCTTTACTCTTCCCTCCCTCCAAAAGGGCTGAAAATACATGAAAACTGTTTGACTGTATGCCTCTAATTCCTTCAGATACCTATAGCAATTTAGCTATAGGTAAATAAATGTACCTAACATAGCAGATGCTCATAATATGTAGCATCTTAACATATTATGAGCATCTGCTATATTAGGTATATTTACGAGCATCTGTCCACTACCCCCTAGATTTGCAGCCTTGGGCAGGTTCTTTCATATCTGAGTCTCAGGCGTCAGGTTGTTGTGAGTTTTAGAGAAAATGTTTTATAAGTATGTAGGACAATGCTACCTGGCACAAAAAAGGAGCTCAACACATGGCAGCAATGATTATTTCCTAAATCAAACATGTAACATGTCTATCAAAACTTAACTCATCAAAAAAAAAAAAAAAAAAAATACCCTGACCCATCAAAAACCAAATTCTGAGCTTAAAACATGTACCCAAATAATCACTGTAAATTCTTAACTCTTTTGCATTTCTCAGTGGAATAAGAACTGCAGTCTTTTAAATCATTTCCTTTGATCATATATGAAGAAACCAACTCCCAAAGATTAGGAAACCCACAGGAGGTCGGGTTGGGGCAGGCCAGGGTGACTCATTCAGTTAATCATCCAATAATTTTGGCTGAGGTCCTGATCTCACAGTTTGTGGGATCAAGGCCCACATCAGGATCCTCGATACCAGTGCAGGGCCTTATTGGGATTCTCTCTCCCTCTCTTTGGCCCTCCCCTGCTCACTTGTGCTCTCTCAAAATAAAATAAATATACTAAAAAAACACAAACAAAAACAAAAAAAAAACACCCACCCAGTGTTCTAGGTTGATGGTAGAAAATGAATACACAGCATATATTTTTTATATTAAAAAAGTTTTAAGATCTTAGAGAACCAAGTCTCAATGTATTCAAAATAGACTCCACTAGAGAAATCTGCAAAAAATGGGTATTTGACCTTTACTTTCAGACTGTGATTCGGTGCATAAAGTGGGGGAGCATGAATCTGCATTTTTAATACACATTTCAGGTGACACACAGATCCAAATGTGAAATACCTTGCTTTAGAAGATTGGGAACACATAATCATAGGAAAATATATCATCAAATCTAGAGTGATACAGGATAAGAGAAACTGTAAGCCCCAGAAATGTTAGGTAGTCCCTGTAAATTTAACCATTAGCACCCTAATACAAGACTTAGTGCCTTTATTTTATTTATATCTGTGTGCCTCTCCAGAAAGCCCAGTCTAATAATCTAAGAATAAAAACGTAATCTACCCTTTATCCATCTACATTCATCTGCCCCTCTAACATTTTCATTTACTCTTAAATTGGTCCATCTGTTAACCCTCACACTCTATATATGCACACCACCTATATACATTGTGTCTATATATTATTACATTTGTTATGTCCTTCATCTCCTCTTCAATAGCCTATTTCCTTCATTTCCTTCTAACCTAGGTCAAAACTTAATTTCACAGACTACCTTTTCTATCGTTTTTTTGTGTGTTCCCTCAGCACTTCTTTGAACAATGGTTATGATGTCTTAAATTTATGGGTAAAGCTACTTGTTGAAACTCTTAAGCTTTGTAAATTTATAAATCTCACAACTGACCAAAGACTGTCCTCATCCATTCTGTTGTTAGAACAAAATGTTTAAATACTGCTTTCATACCGTACTCTCCACATAATCCCCTCAACTCTATTAACCCCTGAGTACCAGTTCCTTATTTTCTTCCCTTTTAACTGCTGGAAAGACCTGAAAACCATTATTAATTATCTCAGCTGCTTACACACAAAACCTTCCACCTACTGACATTTTTCTTACAGAAGTCATCATCATTCCTGTGTATTCTAAATCCTGTGGCCTCTAATCCTATTTTATCTCTGCAGCACTTCACACCAGTACTCACCTTCCCTGGCTTCCATAATGCTGTACCCACCTATATATTCTTCTACCTGTGACAGCAACTAGGTCTTCTTCTAGTTCATCTTCCTACCCCTCATTCTTGGCCACTAAAGTTTCTTGCACTAGCCCCTTTTCTTAACCTAAATTAATTCTCTGTGCAATGCCATCCATTTCTATAGCACCCCTATACTTTGGACCCAACTCTATATCTTTTAAGTCTCTATCTCTCAAGTTGTGATAAGCCTGCTACTCTCAATTACCACTGATACACATGCATGCATGAAGTATCATTAGCATATAATCAAACTCCATTATTTCCCAAAAAATCACTCCAACATGCCCAATCCTGCTGTCCTTCTAGATACAGAATGAAAAAATCGCTGCCACTCTTTATTTTCTTCCTCTCATTTTTATTTAGCATAACCACGGTGTGGGTTGAAACTTGTTAACCTTCAAATTCTTAATCATTCATTCAAAAAATGTCTGCTAGCTGAAACTAATACAATGTTATACATCAATTACATCTCAATATAAAAAGTGTATTAGAGTTTGAGTGCACATCAAGTGGATAAAGACACAGTGGTAAAGAAACTAGACATAATCTCTTGTCCTCATGTGATGGGCAAAAGGGGCACAAATAATAAAAACCACAATAAATAATGTAATTGCAATACATAATTGTGTTGTAAAGAAACACAAGATATGGTAAGTGCATAGAGAGTTCTGACAATCTGGGAAAACAGGGAAGGCAAAAAACCACAGAAGCACCCTATGACCCAATAATACCGTTCCTCAGTAGATACCCAAGAACCAAAAATATAAGAACTGAAAGCAAGGACTTGAAGAAACATTTGTACATCCATATTCACAGCAGCATTATTTGTAACAGCCAAAAGAAGGAAGCAACCCAAGTGTCCAGTGAATGAATGGTTAAACAAATTGTGGTATTTTTACATACAATGAAATACTATTCAGCCTTAAAAAAGGAAAATGATACATGCTGTAACATGAGTAAGCCTTGAATATATCACCCTACATGATACAAGCCAGAAGCAAAAGGATAGATATTGTATGATTACACTTACATAAGTAGCTAGAATAGTCAAATTCTTAGAGACAGAAAATAGAAGAGTGGTCACTAAAGGCTGGAGGGAGGGAGAAGGTAACAGGAGCAGGAGAGTTACTATTTAATGGGTACAGAATCTGAGTTTGGGACAATGAAAAAGTTCCAGAGATGAGTAAGAGTGATGACTGCACAACAACATGAATATACTTTATGCCACTGATCTGTACACTTAAAAATGGTTAAAGTAATGAATTTTATCTTACGTACATTTTACTGTACAGAAAAAGAAACTATGATGTGATACCACCACACACCCATCAGAACATCTGATACTTGAAAATATCAAATGCTAAATGCAAAATGATAGAACAATTTGAAAAACAATTCTTTATAAATCTGAACATAAACTTGTCATGTGATCTAGTAATTCCAATTTAAGGTTTTTACTCTGGAGAAATGAAAACATGTTCACAAAAAGACACACGCAAAGTGTGTGTTTATTCACAACAGCCTAATGCTGGAAAAAATCTCAATGTTCACCAAAAGAAAAAAAAAAAGAAAAATGAATAAGCAAACTGGGGCATAGCTGTACTGCACTAAAAAACAAAAAGTGATAAATACAAAATGGAGGAATTTCAAATACTTGTTAAAGGAACAAAGTCAAAGAAAGAAAAATATATAACTTATGACACCATTTATATGCAACTCTAGAAGAGGCAAAACTAATATGCAGAGCAATGGTTGGTTACCTGGAGCTAAGAGGGAGAAATGACTAGGAAGAACATTTTTGGGGAGTAATTTAAATGTTCTAGTTCTTAACTGTCGTAGCAGTTACAGGACATATATGCATGAAAATACATCAAACTGTACACTTAAAAATGGGCATACATTATTGGATATAAATTATACTTCAATAAACTTTTTTTGGTTTATGAAAATGTAGCATATAAAAAGGTGGCATTTTAAATCAGTGAAGAAAGGATCCCTTAACTGATCTAGAGAATTGTCTACCCAAGTGGAAAAAAAAATAAAAGGTAAATATGTGTACACAATATCCAAGGACATGCCAAATGCAATACAGATCTAAATCTAAACAAAACCATATACAAAAAATTAACTCAAAACAGATGACAGACTTAAATACAGAGCTAGAACTACAAAACTCTTAGAAGAAAGTAGGCATAAATCCTTATAACCTTTAGATTAGGCAATGGTTTCTTAAATAACAACACCAAAGACAACAAAATAAAAATTCATAAACCGGACATTTAAAACTTGGGTGCTTCAAGATAACAACCATAAAAGTGAAAAGAAAACCCACAGAATGTGGAGAAATATTTGAAAATCATGTATGTGATAAGAGACTTGTATCCAGAACATATAAAGAATACTTAAAACACAACAATAGAAAGGGGCACCTGGGTGGCTAAGTCAGGTAAGCGGCTGACTTGATTTCAGCTCAGGTCATGATCTCACATTTCATGAGATCGAGCCCCACATGGGGCTCTGAGTTTAACTAACAGCGTGCAGCCTGCTTGGGATTTTCCCTCTCTTTTTCTGCCATTCCCCCACTCTCGTATATAGAAGCTCTCTCAAAAAAAAAAAAAAAAAAAAAGTCCCGATTAAAAAATAGCAAAGGATTTGTGCAGATCCACCCCCAAAGAGGGCTAATCAGCACATGAAATGTTTCTATCATCATTAGTCATTAAGCAAATGCAAATCAAAACCACAAAGAGATACCTTCACACCCATAAAAATTACTAAGATAAAGGGACAATGAACGGAGGTAGTGCTATCAGAAAGAACCTGCATACACTGCTGAGTCAACTGTAAAATGGTGCAGCCACTTTGGAGGACTTTGGCAGCTTAAAATGTTAAACATAGACACCCTATGACCCAGCAGTTTCACTTCTAGATATATACCCAACAGAGCTGAATATATATGTCCACACAAAAGCCTATATATGAATGTTCATGGCAACTTGATTCATAATAACCATAAAGTGGGAACAATCCAAATAGTTATCAACTGAATAAACAGTGCATATATTCATAGCATATTATTCAGCCATAAAAAAAGAAGAAGTGCTGTTATACGCTACATGAGTGAAACCTGAAAATATAATACTGTGTAAAAGAAGTCTTACATTAAAGGGCACATATTTTATGATTCCACATATATGAGATGTCCAGAACAGGCAAATCCATATAGAAAGAAAGCAGATTAATGGTTGCCAGAGGATGGAGGACAGGAGAATAGGGAATGACTACTAACAGGTACAGAGTTTCTTTTTGGGATAATAAGGTTCTAAAATCAGCCCTGGTGGTTGTACAACTGAGTATACTAAAACCCAAATATACTAAATACAGTTATTACTAAAACTGAATTATATGCTTTAAAAGGATGAATTGTATGGTATGTGAATTATATCTCAATAAAGTTGGGAATTATAAAAAATATATGGTGTGATTTTTAAGAAACCTCTCAAAAAAAGAAAAAAGCTACATGTATCTATAATTATACAAATATATTTGTTTGGCATTTGCCAGGCCAATTTTAGATTATTCTACACTAACATTTAACAGCTGTTATATTTTAGAATAAGAAGAAACTTTCACTTATTTTTATACCTAAAACTATACATTTTATCTACCTGCATTTGCTCACTCTCAAAAATAATTCTATGCACCAATACTTAAGGGGGGGGGGAGGGGAAAACCAACCAGGAAATACAAGAGGCTTTCTGGAAATACAGAAATGTTAGAATTCATGGTTTTATGATTTATGAAAATAACCTAACCCAATATTTGAAATTGATACTATTGCTGCATATCTAGATTGTACAGTTATATATAGGAGTAGGTAGGAGAACTCTGGGATCACAATTACTGTGTATTGGAAAAGAACTGAACTCTCTAATGGCATTTAGCCTCCCCCTCCCTCTGGGTTCTGTGAACAGTTCATAAATTAAATAAGTTATGCCTATTTACCTACCTGAATAACTACAAAATGTACATTCCTGATTGGCCAATTTTCCCCCTAATAAGGTACCTTTACTTAAGTGTTTTGTTACATGGGTTAAGAGTAGATCAAGTGTCATCTATGGAAATCTTTTAGAAATTCTAAATTACCAGATTTATCTCAATTTCCTGGCTTTAAATATAAATCACATATTCTGGTCAAGAATTCTATGATCTGAAAATAGAAGCAAATGTGACACATAGTCCGAATGACAGTATTGTGAAATTTTCCTCCAGGTTCTTTCTGCACTATAGTTCATTTGAGTTCAATCTTATATAGTGTCTAACCTAAAATTAAACCTAGAATTATGCTTTCAGCCTATTTTATGCACACACACCAAAAAATGACATACAGTACAAGACACTGAAATAACTAAAGGTAGGTGGGTTTTCCTTGAAATAATCATGAACATATACTTTCACATTTATTATTTCCTCTGCATATCAAATGTAGCACCTAACTCAAGTATCTGGCATGCTGGGGAGCTTAGTCGGTTAAGCATGCGACAGGATTTCAGCTCAAATCACAGTTCATGAGATGGAGCTCCCCTGTTGGGCTCCGTGCTGACAGTGCAGACCCTGCTTGGGATTCTCTCTCTCCCCTCCCCTGCTTGCGCGAGCTCTCTCTCTCTCAAAATAAATACAATAAACTTAAAAAAAATAAACTCTAAAATCTGATTCAAGGATAACAAAAGACCACTGGCTTCTAATTTAACTTCAAAGTGCTTTTAAGAATGCTTACTACATATAATTTTAATTACATCTGCATCTGTTAAAAAAAAAATTGAAAATTGTTCTAAAGACTATACTTGAAGGATATAAAACGTAAAAGTTGAAGATGTTTAATTTTCTATTAATATCTAGTAAAATACCTCAAAGTGGCCTAATTATATTCTTTTGAGCAGTTACCAACTGGAGTAGTATTTTTAGATCAATTAGTACATGAACCTTCATTCATTCACCCAGCACAAATGCCTGAATGTATACAATTAAAAAAAAGGGGGGGTGGGGAGGACATCAGGATGGCTTAGTTGGTGGAGTATGAGACTCTTTACTCCAGGGTTGTAAATTTGAGCCCCAAGTTGGGTGTAGAGATTACTTAAAAAAAAAATAAGATCTTTAAATAAGTAAAATTAATTAAATAAAACAAAACAAAATAAAATAAAATAGAGAACCATTTACTTTTATCATGGAGTCATCAAGTCAGGATTAAAGAACTTATTTAATTGCAATTTGAGATTATGTACTTGCTCAGGAAAAGCAGGATTCAAAAACAGCACAATACAAGGAAACACTAAAACCAATGAGTGCAAGGAGATTCTCAGGGAAGGCTTCCCAGAGTAATATTTAGGAATATTTAGCAATATTCCTTGAGACCTAAAGAACAGGTGAAATTTGTTGTCTGTATTCCAGGAAAATTGAAATGCACTGGCAAAGACTTTGACACTAGAAAGAGGTTAGACAGTTCAAAAAACTGCAAAGGTCACTACTGTTAGATGGCTCTGAACAATGGGGACTGAGGAGAAAGATACAGCTGTGGAGGAGAAAGAATCTAGATTATGTGAGACTTCCTAGACTAATAAAGGATTCTGAATTTATTCTAAAAGCAACGGAAAGCCAAAGCATAATTTTAAATAGAAAGTAACAAGGTTGGGGCGCCTGGGTGGCGCAGTCGGTTAAGCGCCCGACTTCAGCCAGGTCACTATCTCGCGGTCCGGGAGTTCGAGCCCCACGTCAGGCTCTGGGCTAATGGCTCAGAGCCTGGAGCCTGTTTCCCATTCTGTGTCTCCCTCTCTCTGCCCCTCCCCCGTTCATGCTCTGTCTCTCTCTGTCCCAAAAATAAATAAAAACGTTGAAAAAAAAATTAAAAAAAAAAAAAAGTAACAAGGTTAAGACTTATTTTTAAACAATCACTTGAAAAGACAGAATTGTTATTTGTTCACAATAATCCAAAAGAATTACAAACAATTAGAAATGATGGAGTTTATCCAAGTTGATGGTTACAAAATCAATACCAGCAATAATCAAATGAAATAAAAAGGATGCTATTTATATTGCAAAAAAAATTTTAATCATATACCAGGAATAAATTTAATAAAGCATGTGTAAAAGGCCTTTATGAAGAAAACTGCAAAATACAGAAGAATCAAATAAATAGCAAGATAAACCATGTATAGTCAATGCAATTCCAAATAATATCCCCAAAGGAATTTGATAAAATAGTTTTAAGTTATGAAAGAATGAAAGTCTAAGAGTCAAGATAGTTCTGAAAATTAATAAAGGGGAGGCCTGGAATCCCAGATTTCAAAGCTTAATATAGAACTATGTGAAATAAAAAAATGTAGTACTGGTGTTTAAAAAAGATTAAGACAAAAAATTAAATTAAAAAAAAAAAACAAACTAAAATCAAACCCAAGCATATGACAGATGACAGTAGAAAAATAATGGAGAATCAATACTTAATGTTGGAACAATTAACTTATGTGAAAAAAAAATTGATTCCTAACTCCCTCCCACATGGGACCTAAATGCAAAAAAAAATCAAACAACATAAACCTCTCAACTATTAGCAGACAACGTAGAAGATGGTTTCTGGAACAAAAAATACAAATCATAAAGGAAAAGGATCATGATTTTAACATCCAAAGTTGAGATTCTATATCACACAAGACACTATCACAACGGGCAACAAGTAATTTTATTCTTATTCTGTTATCTTTCACCACTGCACTGTAAAGTAAGAAGGTTGAATGAGATGATTATCAAGGTCCTTTACATAACATAAATGCTGTTATGATGTCTCACTCTTTTTGAAACACTTAATTCATAAAATATTTAAAACATAGCCAAAATAATAAAGTTCATAGCCATTTACCAACCATCCAGAGTTAATAATCAAGAAAATGCAAATTAAAATGAAGTATCATTTCGTATCCATCAAATCTGCTAAAATTTTAAAATGTGACAATATGAATAATGGGCTAGGATGCTGGAAAATGAATTGCACATATGCTGCTGGTAAAGTATACATTGCATAATGATTTTAAAGAAGAATTAGTAATATCTAGTAAAATTAAAGTTATTCACAACCTATTCCAGGCAATTTCACTTTAATGAATCTTCCCAAACACCTACACCAAAAATAAAAAAGAAACAATCACTCCAGCATTATTAATAACAGAAAATAACTCAAAATATCCATCAACAGTAAAATACATACATTTTATATATCTATACAATGGAGTACCATTACAGCAAATTGAATATATTAGACTTATATGCACTAACATACAGATCTCAAAAAATGCTAAGTATTTTTTTTAAAAGGAAGCTGATGAAAGATTATGTTCAATACAGTACCATTTTGTAAAAATTTTAAACATAAAACACTGTGTATATCACTTATGGATACATGTACATGGATACAGTAGAAGTATATACAAGAATATGAAGTATACTCAAGAACCTCAGGATAGTTATTACCTTAAGTAGAGAGCGGGTAATAGAACTGGGAAAGATTGGGAGGATGTTGCTATAAGTGCATACATAAGACTGCATTTACTTCCCAAAGAATCAAAAGTGGCCGAATTTATAATTCTGGATAGTGTTTGAATGAGTATTTGCTATATTATTTACTGTAAGTTTTAAATACTTTGTAAACAATGTAACCTAACCTACTTACTTTATAAAAGGAAAGATATCAGAATATAAAATAAATACTATTGTAGTCACAGCAATTTTAAACATGTCTAAAATAGCACTTTGGGGAATTAAATCTTGATCACTTAAGAGAAAGAAACTTGTAGGCTACAGTGCAGCCTTAATTTCTCAACATCTGATGTCAGCTAGAAATATCGAGAACACAAACACACCCCTCCTAGGAAACCCTGTCAAGTACAGCACAGGTATCAGCAGTAAAGTGGGACTGCAGTATAGGCAGGTCTTTAGTCTACTGTCCAGACTGACCCCTAGTCCTATCATTACTTAAAATTATTTAAAGTTCTGAAGCCTAGAGGATTTTGCTCCTGATTAAACTTAGTTCATCAGCCCACAGCAGATATCCAAAAGTAGTTCTAAACTAAAAAGAAAGCAGTTCACTCATTAAGCACTTACAAATACATAAAACTGCACGTGAAAAAATGTTTATTGTTCTCATAGACTCTTCAATCCAGGAGCAAAGAAATGATTTAATTTCCGTTGAGATAAGTGACTTACCTATTCTCCTGTTGAGACCCATCTATTTTTAAGTTCACCCCTCCTTGCCTTTCATCTAGCCCAAAAGATGGAAGAGGAATTTTAGGGTGAGTAAACGGACTCCCTACTGAGATAAATGAGACCACAGGACCTTACTTTTTCATTTTGAAGATAATCTGAAATATAATACACTGGGCAATCATGGAATTAAAAGAATATACAATACCTGAAATGCAGAAATCTAGTTTTATGTGTATGCAAGACTAAAGTTACCCCTTTTTTTTTTAACATATTCTACTTAAGAGGTCTCATTTCAACACTATAGTCAACTTTTAAGCACTTCCATCCTCTCAAGCACAGTACATCCCTACCTTCGCTGCCAACTTTGATCCATTTAATTTTCTATTTTCCTTTTCTGCTCTTTAAACATGTTGAATGTGTCCTAGTCCATTTTGGGCAGCTAAAACAAGATACCACAGACTGGGTGGCTTGTAAACAGAAATTTCTCACATTTCTGGAGTCTAAGAAGCCCAATATCAGGGTGCTGGCAGATTTGATGTCTGGGAAGAACTAGATTCCTGATTCACAGACAGCTGTCTTCTAGCTGGGTCCTCCTATGGAAGAAAAGGCAAGGGAATTCCTTGAAATCTTTTATAAGGCACCCCATTAGTGAGGGCTCTACTCTAATGATCTAATCACCTCCAGAAGGCGTCAGATCCTAATACCATTACACTGAGTGTTACAATTCCAACACATAAATTTTGGGAGGATGTAAACATTTAGTCTATAGCAGTATGTCACAAACATAACAAAATGTGTAAAATATTGAATATAAATGAAGCAGCTTAAGTAGCTACGGAAAGAAACTTTTCATTTTTTGTAAGAAACTCTAAATTTAGAACATCTTGAACAGCATAGTTTCTATAACCAATATTCAATATGATGCAGTGTCAGCTCACTTCAGAAAACTAGAAGAGAAATGTTACCCAATTACTCTTTGTGTTAAATGGGATTTATCACATAAAACAGGTGCTCAAAAGACATGTATTTTTTTTAATTCCTAAAACAAAAACTTTAAATATTTAGCAAAGGTAAATATTTAATATCCTTATTTACAGCACACTATAAGGTTATCAATATTGGCACATATACACACAAAGAGTCACAATAAATAGAACCCCTAAGAAAAAAATACTGAAGGAATTATTAAGCTGAAAATACCCATATGTCTCCCTATGACCCATTAGCTTTATGTAATAAAAACTGCTGGGCATTTCATCCTTTCTCTTTCAAAGAATGGGATTATGCTTTACATCTGATAAAAGAATTTGTTAGCAGTATGAAGAAATTCCTGTAGTGGTATCTGCAGTGCTAGAAGTATCATGTGAGAAGAAAAAAAAGAACACCAGTTTTAAAGATGAAGCAAGGAAGTGACAAAATGTGACATTTGTTCAGTCTGAATGGTACATACATGATTGTTATATTATTCTCTATACTGTCTGTATATTGAATGGGGGGGGGTCAGAATTTGTTCTGAATCACAAAGAATATAAAAGTAAATGGGTTAGGATAGTGGTTACAGTCCACAAAAGAAATGCTAAGACTACCTTCTCACATTCAAGAGTAGAACTCTATTAGAAGCTTGAAATGGATAAGGTATCCCTTTTGATACAAGGAGGCAGAAGTCATCACATTAAGAACTAACAAAGAGCTATAAGCCTGCATACCACAAAGAAACAGGTCAAAATTTTTTTTCATGTTTTATTTTCAATATAAAAGGATCTGTGCTTGACTAACCTCAACTGACCTCAGAAGGGTACTGTACGCAACACACTGAACTGTTAAGAGTTACCACATTAAGCTCCATTCTGCCCAGCCAAGAGTTTCATTTAAAGAACATTTTACCCTACTTGTATAGTAAGTGTTCAGGGTTCATATGTTACCTTCATGCTTTTAATTATAGCATAGATGCTGACTTTAATAAAGTCTTACATAGGATTCTTTTCCATGATCCACATGTGATGCCTTATAGATTCCACAGACTTCCTAGGATTGAACTTCTCGCATAATCTTATCCAATAAGAATCTATGTCTCCAAAATTTTTCCTTTGAGGTCAACCTTATGATTCACTTGCCATTTATCAAATTAACAGGAGAGGTCAAAAGTAAAGCAAATTACAGAAGGTGTTGGACTATGGATTAATAATACTGAATACATCACTAATTATTAAGATTTATTGTTTATTTTAAATGTAGTTGACAAATTTAAAATAAATTCAGACACTAAACATTTTCCAAAATAATACTTCTATGAAAAGATTAAAAATGTTAATAGAGAAAAGCATGGAAATATACCAAGGTTCCAATCACCTATTTAATACTAACCAACTTGTTTTTTAGGGCAAGTCACTAAATCATACAAGGTCACTTTATTATTCCACTTTTTTGAGAATGATCACATCTGAAAAGCAATCCTTTGAAATAGACAAAGCAAGTATCACCTCACTTGAAAGAAGTTAACAGAACAAAGGCTTTAAGAGATAAATGACCTGCTCATGACTAGAAGCTAGATGGGAAGAATGAACCCATGATCTTCTGACACCAAAGTTAGTGCTTCTTCCTCCACATCAGTGATTCTTGGTGGCTTTTGTTCACTGAACCTGCTGAGACTCTGAAACACTTAAAATTTTATATATAATTTTAGGGAGTTCACAGTCATGAAGCTTAGAATCAAACAGTTAACAACTGTCAGCTAAATCTATATGCAAACAGCAATATTCCAAAAAAAGGTACGAGCTTTATTTCATTCTCAGATTGACCTAAAACTTAATAATCTTCTTTTTGACTTATTATCCACAATGATATTTACTTGCTAAAGATAATTTAGATCAAAGCACACTATATGTAACATTTCTCAGGTTAAATGAAAATGAAAGTTAGCAGAGACTAATTATGTACTGTTATTTCATTAAAAAAACTACACAGTATCTTTAAGTGTTTTAAACATAGAATATGTTTATAGATTAATACTATTTCTATTTAGGGGCACCTGGGTGGCTCCGTCGGTTGGGCATCTGACTTTGGCTCAGGTCATGATCTCGCAGTTGGTGGGTCCAAGCCCTGCGTCAGGCTCTGTGCTGACAGCTCAGAGCATGAAGCCTCCTTCAAATTCTGTGTCTCCTCCTCTCTCTGCCCCTCCCATGCTCATGCTCTGTCTCGTTCAGTCTCTCAATAATAAATAAATGTAAAAAAAAAATACTATTTCTATTTACTGTAATTTTACTTGACTTCCTTTCCTTTCTAAGAAGAAAAAGTTCCATTTCCTGCACTGTTATGGTCAGAAAAGGCCCATTGATGGCATCTTGTGAAGTCATCCTTCTAATAATAGTGTAGAAAACACTCAAACAGAAGGTAAGTGTGTAATCACAAACTACTCCTCCCAAGAGGTAGGAGCAAACATGTGCCATAGGGTACAAAGAGTCCTGAACAAAGAGTCCATATTCTCAGACTGTGGTTCTGGCTCTGCCACCTAGGTGACTTTAAGAAAATCTATTTAAAGCTTTGCACTTCAATTTCTTCATGTGTAAAATTAATGGAGTAACTAACTTCGAGAATAGTCCTACTCAGGTTTAAACCTTGTATAAATCTAGAAGACAGAAGGATAATCACCCCAGAAAAATATCAAAATATTCATAGGAAACTGCCAATTTTTCTTTTTTTATATATATATACCCATTCACACAAACAAACACACTATGTGCCAGATCTTGGGTGATGGAGAGAGAGGGACCAAGATATAAAGATATGAAATATCTCACATATGCCAAATAGTGGTAGAAAGGGGTAAAAATAATAATCTTTAGAATAGCAGCTGCGGGTGGAAAGTGTTGAGCCCAACAGAACTGTCCTAAGATTAGAAGAGCACAGAAGAATGAGGCTCTGTTACATGATAGGGTTTCACAAAAAATGGGATTAATATGGACAGAGTAACTAGACTATAAGCTTCCGAAAGACAGAGACATGATTTTTGTCTTTGTATCCCTTACACCTAACCAAGCTCATAGTAGGTACCCAATAAATGTTAGCTGACTATTTACTAGTTCATTAACTAATTCATCCATACTCAAGTATGGATAGTAAACTTTCTGGTAAACACTAGTAGGAGTCCTTGCCCTTAAAGAGTGAGTTCACAGGTAGTGAGAATGAAAACATGTAAAGGATAACATGCTAGAGTTCCCTGTATGTAAGGTGCTTTGAGACCAATCAGAAAAAACTGGGTAGAAAGACTTCAAATGATAATACTTATTCAGGGCCTATGTGTTAGGGATTTTACAAACTTTAATCCTCATTAACAACTCTGAGTTAGTTTCACCATCCCATTTTACAGAGGACAAAACTGCAGCTCACCAAGACGAAGTTAACTTACCAAGATAAGACAACTAGGGGGAGCCCTGAATTAAAAATGGGATCTAGTTCCAAAGCTGTTTTCACTGTACATACTGTAATGTCTTTGAATATATTTTATCTTTACATTTCCACTGGGGGTGGGGGGGTAGGGGACTGAGGGAGCAGGAACTGTCAAAATCCGCCAAAACTCTATTATCCTGAATTAACCATAAAAAGAGAAAATTTGTCTTCATTCATAAAAATGAGAAAACTAATTTTTATACAGCTGCATGTGTACTTAATATAAATTGTCTCTACATTCTGACCAATACAAATTTAGGTCTCAACAAAAATATGCAACGTGACTGAAGAACATAACCAATAATCATTTAAGAAAATAAGCATTTGTAGATATCATTTCAAGTGCTTGGGTTGAAAAATTTAGGTATGATTCATAGTTTTGGATTATTCCAACGACTGCTTATTCGAAACAGCAAATTATTTCAGATTTGTGGGGGAGAGGTTTGGAGGTGAGAGAGAAGGGATAATTTTAAAAATGACCTAAAGTTTAAGAAATACAAATGATTAAATGTTAAATGTCAAAGACACTGTAAGTAACCAATTAATCTTGTTAAATGACCTGGACAAGTGGGATGAGAATGTCTTCCTCTCAATTCTAATTAAGTATACTTAAAAAAGTAAGTCATGAAAAAGATGTACAATTTAGGAGACATAAAACAAAAACAGCTTACAAAACCTCTGAAAAGGAATCAAAACATTGTAATTTTATCTCTCTGTAAAGTTAAACTCCTCAGGAACTAGGCAATGTCTAGACAATTGTGTACACAACACTTAGCACATTAATGCTAGTTAATAAATATTGACACAATAAGGCTTTCTTAGTTTCCAATTCTAATTTTGTAAATATAGGGTCATTATTTCTTGGATTTATTTTTCACTTTTGCGATCATGATTACTAGTTTCTTTAAAGGGCTTCTGGGTCATTCTTTAGTTTTATCAGCACCATCACTAATACTGTATTCATTTCATTAAAAATGTGATAAATAGCTCAGATTTACAAGCAAGATCTAATTCCAAAATAACTTCAAGTATACACACTGTGACAAAATTTTATTTTTATCTTCCTAAATTCTAAACTCTTTTACATGATTTACACAACAATACTCCAAGTAAGAATACTTACTAGTCAGAGATATGAAATACACTTCTCATTCCTCTTGTCATTCACTTAAGATTTACTGGGTATCTACAATGACTTTGACAGGTAATTTTTTTGACTGCTGTACTTAGAAACTTTAGGTCACTTCCATTTCAGGTCCCCAGAATATTCTGGAATAAACTTCCTGCTTCTTTCAATATTGCAAGCAGTGGAATACTCGAAAATTATAGGTCATATCCATATTCTCTCATGGTTTATGGAGAGTAACTCTGGACTGTAAATCCCATATTGCCATTCGTCTACATTTTCAACAGCACCTTAGCCACTTAATAAATATAATGCCAAACAGATTTAGTAATGCTTCTATTTTAATATGCTCATAGGACGTTTTAAAAAAAATCAGAAACTAAATTATCTTTGAAGAATAAACTCAACGAGTGTCTATGTTAAAATTATTTCTAACAATTTTACGGACTAAAGCATTTGCCACATTCAATTCTGACTTTACCAACAAAACCTCAACGCCATGACGAAAAGTCCTTTTCATTTTCTCAACTGAAAAGGGAAAACAAAAAATGCCAACTGTTTGCAGGGTTGCATTTAACAGAATCTCTGGCAAACCCGGTAGAGCTCATACTTAATTTGAAAAACCCAATAACCTGTGAACACAATCCTTAGGCTTGATTTCCCTCTTCATTCCCCCTCTCCGCCAGTCCACCCCCAAAATCCCGACCCACCAAAGCACACGTCTAAACATTTTTCACTACCGGGGCAAAAACCTCGAAAACAGAGGCTTCCTCCCCTTTGGAAGAAAAAGGCCAGGCCTATTCAGCCTGGGGCCCGGGCCTGCTCCTTAAGCTCCGCTCCAAGGAGGGCCAACTCTCGACTCCCTGCACGGCCCGCCTCGGGCCCGCTCGCGTCCCCTAAGGCGACAAAACCCTCCCTCAGGCCCTCAGCCAGGACTGACAGTTACGGGAGCAGCAGCGGCTGCTACCTATCAGAGGCCTACTTCTGGCACCGACCCCTCCAAACCACGCGTCCCCAACACCTGCCGCGGCGCGGTTTAGGGGCGTCCTTACGTTTGCCCCCGCAGGGTGGCTTGGACTACAGAGAAAACGAAGGGAAATGTGACCGGCCTCCCCGGCCCAGGCCCCGTCCTCGGCCACACTGACCTGTTGTCGCCCCCGCGCCTGGGCTGTGGCCCTCGCAGAAGCGGCCGCCTCACTAGTCGTCGTCGCCCTCGCTCGCCGCCTCCGCCCGCCGCCGCCTCGTTCCCTTTCGCTGCCGCCACCGCCGGGGCTCATGCGGGACCCGCGCTTCCTTCTCCGGAGACTAAGGCCGGGAAAGGGGGCACCGGGGCCGCATAAAACCCCGCGCTCGTCGCCAGCCGCCGCTCCGCCGCTGCCTGTCCCCACTAGAGAGCTGCGGGGCCCGCCGACCCGGGGCTAGACTGTAAGCTGCTCCGAGCGCGACCCCAACGAGGAGCCGAGGGAGGCGCCGCTCCCCGAGGCCGTAATCGCTAGGTCCGCACAGATGAAGCTCAAGTCGGAGGCAGGAGCGAAAGGCGAGTGCCTGGGCCGGCAGATGGCTAAGTGGTAGCGAGGTGTGCAAGCGAGAGGAAGGCGATGTGTCGAGGTTCTGGCGAAGGGGATTCAGGCTCTGTCGTCTCCTGCAGTCACCCCGAACCCAGCGCCACCATCTTGGGAAAAACGCGGATCTCGCCGCCGCAGCGCAAGCCGGGAGGACTGGCTGGGCGGGCCGAGTATCCCAGCAGGCAGCGCGCTCCGCCCGGTCGGGCGAGGGCTCCGGGCCGGGACGCAGGAACGCGGGGCGGGGCTGGGGGGAGCGCAGGAGGACGCAGCGTTGTGCCCTGCCCCCCTTGCTGGCTCCGCCCTCTTCCTGCTTGCCGTCGTCGCCGGCGCAGGGGCTGTTGGGAAGGGGAAGTTGCTCCCGGCTCCCTGGAGTCCTATTAGGGTCGGTCGCCATCTTAGGACGGGGCGGAGAGGGCAATGTTTCCTTTGAGCCACCGCTGTTTGTGGCCCCACGAAAGAAGGGGGTACACGCCGGAAGGCCCCTGTCTCCCCAGGCGTGTTGGAGAGCCCCCTGGTCAACCCAAGTCCAGAAACGTGCTAGGACTTGGACGCTTTTGCTTTTGGTGGGGAACAAATCGGCTCTGAAAATCCGCCGAAGGGTGGGTGGAGGGGGCCTTTGATAGCTCCCAGCCCCTCTGCAGGGCTGAAGCCTCCGGATCCCAGGCCTTCGACCCCAACCCCTTTCTGCCCAGAGCTGCCTCTAAATACTGCAGAGGTAGCCCGAAAGTGTGAGCCAGCTTTCAGGGATCCAAGGTCATCTGCTTAGGTCTCTCGGCAACACTTTGTCACTAGTTTGCTAGAATCTGAAAGCCAGTCTCGCAGTTTTGATGTTTGGTAGGTTGTTGATAAAATGAATGTGGCGTCTTGGTAGACATCAGCTGGATGGATGCTAATTTTGACCCATATGACAACACATTTAAACCCGTGCGTCATTTTTAGTACCAAGGTCACCATTTTATTTAAAAGGGATTTTTTGTGGCTCTGCGACACTTAAACTAGCAAAGCTATAATGGAATCACTAGCAATTCATAGTCTTAACGGCTTGCAACTTTGCTAAGCCCATAGAATACTATATGAGATCCCATTCATCTAGTATTCAAAGGATTTTTTAAAATCAACAATCTTACATAGCACTGTATTTAGCTGTCATTCTTAGAACGTTTTTTTCTATACAGTAACATATATATAGTTATATATAGAGTATACTGCTTTCCAACTATAAACAACTTAAACTATAAAAAGTCAGCTACTGGAATTTAAATTTTCCCAGGACAATTAATGATAAATGACAGTATTAAATCATGTCCAATTTTAACTCAGTTCCTCATTCTTTTTTTCCATTTTCCTCCATTACAGGTCTTAATTTGGAAACAATTTGCAGTTATATTTTATAGAAGAGGGAAATTAAAGTCAGCCTTTTAAGGATTCTTTGCATATTATCAAAATAGGCAAATGAGAATGAAAATCTTTGAAGAATTTTGTTAGAATTATCAAAGCAAAATGTTACTGCAGTGTCTAGTATGTGAAGATACTTGTAACTATTCTACTTAAGTATAAATTGAATAAATGAAATGTAGTTTTGTATAACCTGATGCATCAAAATGGGGCAGAAATTCCTGAATATCAAAAAAATTAAAGACTGACGAGAAATAATTCTGTTCTTAGTTAAATGTCACACTGACTATCCTGTTCTTTACCAAAATCAAAGAGGATCCCAGATCCTTTGAATATGCAGAAATTACACATAGACCTATTAATTCATTGATAGGTATTTGTTAGTGTCAGACCTGGTTCAAGAACCCACTCTCTTTGTCTTATCCATTTAAAATGTTGTGATGTTTGCTGATAAAAATTACTAGCACTTTGGCATATGGTAAGTGCTCACTAAATGTTAGGGCTTAGTAATAGTAGTAGCATCAATACTATTGTGTAACATTATACACTTCATGAACTCCTTCACCCCTCCACACTTATTTCTACAGATCTACCTGCATTTCCACTCCCCCGATCTCATGTCTTAAAGTATGAGCCTTTTTTTTTTTTTTTTTTTTTTTTTGCCAGTGCGTGACGGGGTAGAAATCTCAAGACCTTAGTCCCTTGGTTGTTTCCTTTCTTGTTCATGAATTCTCCTAACTTTGTCCCTTCTATTTAGAAGAGCTATCTATACTTGGGTTGTCATTTCTAAGTCCCTCTTCAACTACTGAAATTTAGCATTTGCCCCCATTTTAATATACTTCTTGTGTTAATGTCAGTAATAGCACAGTGGCCAAATCTAAAAGTTGCTTCTCAATTTTCATGGTGTATGACCTCTTTGTAGGCTTCCATACTGCTGCTAACCACTGCCTGCTGGAAACTGCTTCCTAGGTTCCATCACCCTGCATTCTCCCTTCCTCGTCATGGGCCCTCTTCTTCAAGTTGTCTTTGCATAATGTTCTTCATTGTTGGTTCTCTTTGCCTGCTGTATTATACAGTCTCTGACATTACCATATACATATACTCTCCCTCTATCACTTATTTCAGTCAGAGAACAAGTCTGAATCTTGAACACTGGTCTCTCTGGGGTGCCTGCGTGGCTCAGTCGGTTAAGCGGCCGACTTTGGCCCGGGTCATGATCTCGCGGCCCGTGAGTTCGAGCCCCACGTCAGGCTCTGTGCTGACAGCTCAGAGCCTGGAGCCTGTTTCAGATTCTGTGTCTCCCTCTCTCTGGCCCTCCCCCATTCATGCTTTGTCTCTCTCTGTCTCAAAAATAAATAAACGCTTAAAAAAAAAAAAAGAACACTGATCTCTCTCAGAAACCAGTTATATTCAGCCCCTTATTGGAAATGTGTATTGGATGTTCTGTTGCACCTTAAAACTCAACATGTATAAAATTAAACTGCTAATTTCCATTTTACACCATTAACTGAGATGGGAATAATTTTGGAGAAGAGCAGGTTTTGGAAGAACCAGCAGGAATTGGGTTTGGGGAGTGTTAAATTTGAAATACCTGTATCTCTGTAGTGGATATCCGTAGTAGAGATTGACTGCTAGTTGACTCCTAATATGCCTTCTCCTCTTCATCCATGGTAATAGAATTATCTAGCCAGACACATGGTTGCCTATAATAAACTCTGAATGTATCCATGTCAGTAGGTTCTGGCCAGTGGGATTGAGAAACTTCCAGATGATATTCTAAAATAATGGGATGCCTCTTTCCCTTTATCCGTTTCTGGTGATGGAAATGTAGTAGACGTTGTGAGCTATTTTGGAAGGACAATTGGGTGGGTCCCTGAAGACTTCATGAGTCAGAGCCTATGTACCAGCTTGAACTTTAGTGTGAGACCGATAACTTCTATAATTTGCCATGGTTTTTCTACATCACTTTTACTGAAGCTGACCTTGTATCATAATATCCAAATGAAGAAATCAAGGAGGCAGTTGGATGTGGGTGTCTGGAGTTAAGGGAGAATGAAAGCAACTTATTCTACATTCCCTGGCTTGATGACTCTTCCATCTGTGGCATTCCTCAATCATAATTTGGTAATCCTAGATTTCTTCCTCTCTCTCACTCCTTTGGCAATTAGGCAAAGTCACATTTTCTTTAAAGCATTGGTTTTAAAGTTAGGTAGCATAGCAAAATGGTTAAGAGCACCGGCTCCCAATTTATTGGCAAGTGCAAAAATGTCAGGCAAAATCATAAATCCCTTCCTGGATTAACTTTTCTCATCTGTAAAGTGGGGTTATTGTGAGGATTAAGTGTTAATATATGTAAAGCTCTTAGAATAATGCTGAGCATATAGTAAACAAAAGTGAGCTTTTTCTAAATCCCAATGCAAATCCCAGTTCTGCCACTTACCAGGTATAGAACTTTTAGTTAAATAAAACTTGAATTAATGTCTCTCTTTCCTCATCAGTAAAATGGGAAAAATAATAGTACTGACCTCATATGGCCACTGTAAGCCTTCTTTCATCCATTCATTATTAATAAATTAAACATTTATTAAATAGATATGATATACCAGCATAGTTCTAGGTGTCAAGAATACAACAGTGAACAAAGCCTGCCCTCATGTGGTTTATGATCTAGTAGAGAAACCAATCAATGTGATGTGTTAAGGAGAACTACAAAACAAAGTGAAGAGAATAGAGAATGCTACAGGAGTTGAATCATGCAGGGTGGTCAGAGAGGTGTCATTAAAAATATATTTAAGCAGAGGCTTGACAGAATGAGCTGTGAGATATAAGAGGGAGAGTATTCCAGACAGAGAGGGCCCTGAGGCAGGAAGGTGCCTAAAGAATTCTAGGACCACGTAGGAAGAAACTGGCTGGAACACAGAAAAGGAGCTGAGATGAGATCAGGGAAGTCAGAGTGGGCCACAGCCCAGGCTTTGCAACACATCTTGAGGCCATGGGTACTTGCACTAAATGAGGTGGAAAGCCCTAGAAGGGTTTGAGAGAGTTATGACAAATTTAACCCATAGGAATCATTCTGGCTGTTGTGTGGAGAATGGGCAGACAGCACATGTGAAGTGTTTAGTGCCTGACATATAAGAAATGTTCAATAAGTGGTAATAAACATTTATTAGGTATTATGATTGTTGCATCCACATGACTCCTGAAACAGAATGCTACGGGCATCAGTGACAGTCACAATAAAGTTTATTGCAATGAAAGGTAAGGCAAACCTATCGATCGGGACCGACAC